AGAATGTAGGAGAAAAGAGTTTGAAGCGTAACCAGTACGGTGAGAGGGGAAAGATAATTGGAGAGTATTATTGGAACGAAGGTTACGTTCGTGAGTTTCAAAAAGATATTGGAATTTACTCCTTAACATTTTTAGTTTCATGTACGGGTAACGACTTCTTTTTCATCCCGCTTACAATAGTACGTTGCTGCTATTAATTTGATTGATCTTGTATAGAAAGCACAGATAATGCATTGTCCGACGATCACGCAATGTTTCCATTTCTAATGTATCTATGAGAGATGCGATTGCAGAGATTAGACACGTCTTGAAACCGATCTTCGGACGCTTTCGATCCGCTGGGATTTATATGCGTACACTGGGTTTCAGAGTGCGCGTGTATACTTGAAACAACTTAATTAGAGCTTTCTCGTTTTTTATAGTTATATCTTTTACGCAACATAGGCAATAATAAAATTCTTATATTATATATAGGTACCTACTATTTCCCTATAAGGAATCGCGTCACGTTAAATCCCGAAAATAAATTCAAGTACGCGCCAATGCATTGTGAAGCAGGATTTTGGTACTCGTCTGGAAATCTCCAGTATTATGCTTTATAAAATCAAGCATACATATGCGCAGATTTCTTCATATTTTTGTCAATATGACTATTGAATTTCAATTCCAAATCCAACGTTACACCAAAGTCACATATTTCATCTACTTCCTACAATATGTTTTTTGTTCAATAACGCGTAAACGAATTTGAATAATAATTATTACAGTGATGGTAAATATATAGGATACCTTTTATTCATGGCAAACGGCTAGTGTTTAATACGATAATATTTGGTTTTGTTTATGGTATATAGAATGATAAACAAGCTGAAAGACCACCTGGTGAAGAGTGGTAACTGTCGCCTAAATAATGATATTTTTTTTACGAATCTGCCACCCAATTCTGAATGCAATTTCAGCTAAGAACGGACAAGAAACTCAGTTGGTGGTTTTTTAAATAAAAGTTGAGTTTGCTACAAAAAAAAAATATGAATGGATAAAATAACAATATACAATCAATTGTTGAACAGACCTTCCCTACTAGAAGCACCCGTTCATGAGTATGACGAATGAGCCAGCCATCGTTACGTTCAACCATATTATAGGGAGCCCAACAACCCGGCCCACCACGCCGCCACCAAATTGGACATTATAGCGTGAGCATGATTTGTTTCATGATACGCGATTACGTCAAAAGTATCAATTCCAAATAATATGGGTATACTATTAGAAAATTGAAATGTCATTTACATAATTAGGTCAATAACTTTGTCAATTAAAAAAATATATTAAATATTAATATAACAAAACATTTCAATAAATAAATAATGTCAACAATACTTTTAGGAATTCAGTTTGAGTTTACTTACTCTGTGCCAAGCATCGTTGTCATTGATATATTCGTCTATCCTGTCTATTACAGGATTACAGCCTTTCCACAAAGATTCTTTCTTTTTAAACATGTTTAAAACGTCTTTCGGGTATTACTATTATTATTGAAAGAGGGTTTTTTTAGGCAGAAAAGCCTGTGACACTAATTTTCCGTGATTTTTTGTATCACTCTCTTTTTTATAATTCGCTACTAATTCCTATCAGTGATAGAAATTTTAAGATGTTTTTTGTAGCGATGTTTTTTTATTTCCTCAGGATATAAGGTTTACTTTTTAAAGGAGATATATCGTTTATGTATACGTGGACTACAGCCACAAATTAATTGATGCGACATTTACTTACTCGTTGTGACAAAATCTGCGTCTTTCGGGTAGATCCAGGACAGATTTCGCCAATTTAATATAAAACCTTACGCAATTTCCTAAAAACGAATTACCGACCTTTGTCAATCTACACTGTGGCAACAACAATTTATCCTTACAGCGTAAGTTTTTATTATTATGGACCATAATTTATGATCGCTTACTTGGGTAAAATATTATAAATCTCTCGTTACGTGCATAGTGTTTTCATAAATGTATTGAGAAACAGCTGTAAGGATATTTCACTACTTAAAATATTTGTGAACAGATTCTCTTGAACTTATGTGATTAATGGAACGTAAGGATCTTTTCTGTAATACAAATATAGTGTATATGTCTGCAACTTTACCCAACACAGTAAAATACCCCAGAGGTCATAATGCTGTGAAAGTAGCTGAAATAAACAATTTCGGCCGTTTACACATCTGTGAGTTGTCTAAATTTCCTAATTGCATACGCAACAAAAATAAGCCTACCAGCTAATTTTTGTATATGAGGCCCTCACTGTAATTTTGAATGTATGGTGATATCAAGAAATATGGTATTACTAAAGACAATAACTCCACCATCCACTATTCTTTCCCTAACGCCCGACATGCGTTGCCATTCTCGAAGACTAAGTTTACATTTGTCGTCACATCACTAGCGTGACACTATCGAGATGTGTGAGAGCATGTGAGTGAGAACGTTTTGTGAATAGTGGTCGGCCAGGTGATCCGGCTGATCCGGGGGCCGGCGCCGGTGGCGGGTGAAGGGTGGCGCGATTGCGGACGCGCCTCTGTTTGCGGCCGCCATCCGTCACCCGCGACCTTGCCACACTGCACACATTTCATTTGATTTGTATACGACTCCTCTATTACATATCGCCCGGCTCCAGTACGCCACCGCTGACACTTCAATATTTGAATCAAACTATAGCTCTTATTACATTTTCAAATATATCGTAGCTACTTTAATTTCCGTGTAGTCCCGGCATAGAATAGGCCACCCCTTCCTTTCCCGTGGGTATAGTAATAGACGACTAAGAGAGGGCGAGGGATAGGCAGCAGTGTCCGTCTTAAAATATCTTCAAAGCCTAACTGCGGTTGCCAATCCGCCTGCCAAGCATGGCAACTACTGGCAAAACCTCTTCTAAGGACTAGCTTATGTTCAACAGTGGACTGTTAAAAGCTAAAATGATAATGATTGCGTAGTTTATGGTTCATATAAGTGTCTAGTTATTTAATTCATTTATTATTTAAGAGTCACGTTCCTATCAACGAATCAGATCAAATTTGTTTAAAACAACAAATTAATTAGTTGAAGAAAAAACAAGCACACACCAACTTGCCAATGTGAAAGTAATCCTTATCAATGACATTATCTAAACTTGTATTAAATTTACAAAGATATCGTGTAACATACAGCAATAACTACTGGCAATTTGTAAATCTACATCCTTATTCATAGAAACGCCAAACCCCTAATAAACCTATTAGATGTCAAATAAGTAAAGTTGGTTGAAATCGCTTTTTTGAATAGCAAACTTTTTTGACATCCCCTCACAGCACAATCAATTAATTAATTAACCAATCAATTGTCACTTTTTTTCGAAACCTATTAATTCGTGGTTGGAACTCAGCCACGACGCAAATTTCCATACTTAAATCTCTTCTAATCTTCACATTTTTTGTCGAGTTTTCCGAATCTAGTAGAAATGTAACTGCAGGCCGTCTACCGGAACCAGCTAAATTTTGAAAGTAATCGATGAAAAAAAAAGTCTGGGAACCTTTGATATAGAGCATACAAAGTACACAGGCTGTGTTAAGGTAGGAAATAATCCGCCAATGTACCAAATTTAATGTAAATCCTTTCAGACATTTGAGCGCGATATAAACAAATTTACATCCAAATATACCTGTAAAGTTTCACGTTTTATAACTTTAGTAGAATGGTGTGCTCAATTTCTCCTAAACTCTAAACAATGTCTAAGAAGAGAACACATAACGTAACAGCGAAAACAGAAATACGTGTTGATTCAAATACTGTATTACAGTGCCATTAGAGGTTCTGTGATGTTACAATGTGTTCCTCTCGCGGGTACAGTACAGCACACCGGCGGAGGTGGCGGCGGCGGCGGAGGTGGCGGCGGCGGCGCGGCGGGGAGGTCGCGCGAAAGGATTCTCGGAAATAATTAGAGATGTTCATGAAAACTGCGCACAATGACACGTCGCGGTGCGTAATTATAATAGAATAGAGAGCGTCTACAATTCAAACACGTTTAATTAGCGCCTCGATAGGGGGCGGGGGCGGTTTGCGGCTCCTTGTGCCGTACCGCCCTTCAATTTTTATCGCTCTAGTAACGTTTGAAAGAAATACAATTTAAACATTTATTTATGACTAGTAATTATCCGCGACTGTGTCCGTGTGACCGCGATAAAAAGTATCCTGTAATCCTCCACGATCCCAAATACTAAGTACATGTAGGTGTGCCAAGTTTTATAATACACTTTCATATTGACAACATTTTTAAGTATTTGAGGCTTGGCAATGTACTAATTGCTTATTATTAAAGTATAAAAATCATGTTCGTTACCTTGGAATATTCTTAGAAGTGTTGCCTAATCAAATGTTACTTTAGAAAACATTTAATGAGTTTCAGTCTTGTATGAGCGGAATATATTAATTTATTTATACTTCAATACATCCTTGTTAATATCTTAAATGTGGAAGTGAGCGCGCTGCTTATATGTTACCTTATTATAATTTACATCGTAATTCTTTCTTCATTTGACATCATCGATATACGGGTAAGAATCCTATTCATGTTATTAATGTAAAAGATTGTAAAGGCAAAGCCGCAGAATATAGCCAGTCAATTAATGTTGTAGACATTAATACTATAAGAGAACATGAAACCAAACTATTGCGTTGCTTGTGTCTACAGAAACAGCTTCGGATATAAAGCCTTCCATCGTTCCTATTATTTATCAATTTAAACAACTTTATCTTTGCGAAGCGAAAAAACTGCTTATTGCGAAGCAAAGACTATATATAAATATAAAATATTTTCATTATACCACACTGTAGGATATTGTAATTATTGCATCTTCTGCAATCTACAAATTATCTGATAGTTTAACACTGTGTATGTTTATGATCGACGTCGCTTCTTTGCAAAGCGGTACCTTCTTGTGTTGTAATATTATATCTAGTTTGTTGTTTCAGTTCTCAGACAAGCACCCAAAAGAGATAGAGGAGCTGTGGTCGACGCTCTGCTCGTGCTGGCCCAACAACCTCAAGGTCATCATCCGCTACCTGATCATCGTCTCCGGGATGGCGCCCAATGAACTGCTGCCTTACGTGAGTCTTCAATATCGTAGATTTTCTTTGTGTTTTGAAACAATTTTGAAATTTAAAGTTCATCATTTATTTATATAGATATTTTGCACAACCGATTGACTGATTTTTTTTATCCAAGTTTAGTTCATTCAAAGATAACAGCCACTTGCGCTGTGCTTCAGCGCTCACGTGAAGTCAAAACGATGGCAGCTTAGAGACACTTGATTTCAATATATTATATAATAGTAGTAACATACCATATATTCTCCTGGGGCACATATCCCAATTATTTTCACGAGGACGTCGTAAGAGGTAACTATGACGACAAAGTGGGATACACCCATAGTAGTGCAAAAAAAAGGAAAAGCCAAATAATATAGCGGGGAGCCCACCGCCCACCGCCCGGCCGGATAATAGTTTGCTAATCTCTCCTCCCCCTCTTCATAATGAATGAAACATTTTTCATAAGCATTATTATTCGAACTAGTGGTCGCCCAGTGGTCGAAATTTGACCATAACATGTATTGTAATTAATAAATCTATTATGGTTTGACATCCAGTAAGACTATGGGCAAATCAAACAATATTAAAAGTAAAAAATATTAATCTATTCTCAATTTCATCCTAATTGACCACAGACTAACAATTATCAAAAGAGTATATTTATACGCGTATGTGTCATATACATGGTAGTGTGCGTAATGTTTTTTTTTTTATTGATTTAATGTTTTTTATGCTTAATTAAAAAAAAAATAACAGTATTCTGCACTCCTTCTCTATATAATATAAACTATGAGTATGCCAAATTTCATTCTCCTCCGTCCGCGCAGTTTTCGTTAAAAAGCGTACAAAATTTTTGCTTCACGTATTCATATATAGATAACTGAAAATGTTCATTACGCGTTATACGGATTATGTATTAATTGTAATCAAATTAATATGGTATTTGCGGCGAGGCACACCGAGATGTGTTTGGCAAGACTCCGAAGTCGTGTAAATGACTAATAAGATCAATATGGCGGCGCTACAATGGCATATTACACACACCAGATTGTCTCCGCGTAAATAATAAACCGCCATTAATATCTCGGCGTGGTCTCTAGCCCCCGCTGCGGCGGCGCGGCCACGTGTCGCCGCTCACCATGATTCCGACACTGTTCCGTGGTGATAACTCGATGCGCCCCGATAGTGTCATAAAAGAGATAATTAACACTTTTGTACCACAAAAAAATATCGGCTTTAATCGTGGCTGAAACAAGTTATTTTGTTTTAAAAACTATACTACTGATCCGACATTAGTAAAATTTTTATGGGATTGATCTAAAAATATGGGAGGGGAGAAGAATTCCTAGTAATGATACTGCTACGCTAGAAGTATACCCTATCAGATCGACCTCCACGTGGTTCCCCCTAGAAACCATCATGCTGAATACCCATTGCTAGCAATATACTTCTAAGGTCGACCTCCGCGCGATTCCCCCTGGAAATTATCGTGATTAATTATTGTCGAAATCGTCGCGATAGGCCAACTGATCTGCATCATCCTCACCTATCATCCCTCATTAGTGCCCCGCCAGTGTATACCGGTAGCGCGGTCGGGTTTACCATTTCATTATCATCCGTAACAAAAAAAAAATCTCTCGCGAAGAATTGAACTGTTACTCATGTAATAAGATTATGGCAATGAATGAAAAAATAATTAAAATAATAACAAACGTAACAATTTTTTATATAACTTATTCCTGACTTGATAATAGAAAACCATTTTTTTTTTTAATAAATTGCCAGAAATCGACTCGAACTCTTTTAACAACCTGTAATAAAATCGTAAAGGCAAAAAAGTCGCGTCGGCGTCTTTGTTTTTCCGCGAAAATAAGGATGACTAGAAGTATCAGACGGAACACAAGTCAGCCGTTTTTATAATTGATGTCTATCTGTTTGTTACATTACATGTTGATGAAATGCCTGAACGGATTTCAACAATATTTTATAATACTGGTATTAACTTAGATTTATAACGGGTATATTTTGATCGAACTCAGACTGGAACCATGAGGTACAACTGCTTGACTAGGGAGGGGAAAGGGGATTGTTACTGATGGTACAGCCCATTGCTAGCAATATGCCATAACCATCGTGCTGAATTCCAAGTGTATTCATCACGATGGGCTAACTGGCCCGCCTTTTTATTCTCACCTATCATCCCTCACTGGTGCTCCGGCAGCGTATACCATTAGCGCAGGCGGGGTTACCATTCCATTATCAGCCATTAAAAGACAGCTTGACTAATTATTGTACAACGTCGTATAGAATGTAGAGAGAGCTGTTTATTAATTAAACAATTATGTCTCTAAAATACATCCAGATATTATTATTTTCTGTATCAAATAATCACACTGTTTTGACAAATTTATTTACTTTCGACTAGTCTCGTTTACTAGTTTACACTGAGACTAAGTCCACAGGGACGTCGTCGCGAGTTCAGCTAGTGTTTTATAATAAACAAAATAAAAACACGAGCAACGTTAATTTCAGTTTTGAGGCGCTAATAACATTCCCACAGGCACACTCGCAAAGGCTTACATCCCATGTTTTATGTCCGGAGTTAATTAAAGACGATCCCATCCCAAGATTCCATTATTCCATTATTAGATTCCATTAACAGACTTTAAGTATATAATAATGTGAAATATACTTAGTCACTTAGGCCTCAGGGATCTTGAAATCGGTTCGTTGACACTAATAGAACTAACACGCCTGTAAAATATTCACGAATTGAGAATGTTAGACCCTTTTTAAGTCTTATAATATAATGTTACGGTTACATCTCGGTTTTGGTTTGCGGTTCCACTTGAACATCTTGTAGCCACTTAAACTGAAACGCTATCAATGAACTCCACATATGGATTAGATTGTATACTATTATATAGGTAACTAGCTTTATCCCGCTACTTTGCACGCGTGGTTTTTAAAATTAGGAAAGTCAATGAAATAGGCAACTTCTAGTTCGCGTATCAAGATAAAACATACGCCAGATTTTAAATTAGACTTTCAAGAACATAACTGTGGAAACCACATCCAATTTGGTGCACTAGATTTTGTGTAACCTACAGACAGACAAAATTTCTTAAAATTGCATTTATTAGTCTTTTTAAGACTTCTCATATAAATTTTTGTGTGTGTAGACATGTGCAGACTTCGTCTAATTGCAAATTTAATATCACACACAAAATTAATATGGGAGCAGAAAAAACCATATTGATTGCAAGTAGCGTTATCAAAATCGGCTCAGACTTCGCTACGAAACATAGTCACAAAAATACAGATTAATTTATAACTCGCTCCTTTTCTAAATCGAAATATAAACGTACTTATTAATATCACCTCTCTGCTGTAGAGATACGACCGAGGTTAGGTGTGCCACGAAACCAACGCGCTGTCAAAATCAAGTGTAATGAACTAGTGGGCCGACTGCGAAATATAATAGTATGCAATGTTTGCGTTAAAGCAATGTGCGGCAATGTGATACGCATACACTGGTTCGTTATACATACAGTCATTAGCATCACGCCCGTGACCGCTCACCATATTGCTACCGATCATAATGTGCCTTTAACTTCGTACTAATGGTTGGCGGCGATTGCTTATACATTGTTATAATTTTATGCTGCCTACTATGGTGGAAAATAACCATACGGCCCGTCTAGTGATAAACACTTGCGATAGCTTATGGACGTTGCCGTGTGGTCTCGGCATAGACTAGGCCATCTCTTCCTTTCCCGTGGGTACCGTAAGAGACGACTAAGCGAGCACGAGGGATGGACAGCAGTCACTCTTAAAACGTCTCCAAAGCCTCACTTCGGTTGCCAATCCGCCTGCCAAATGTGACAACTACTGGCAAAAAAAAAGGAAGATTTATGTTCAGCAGTGGACAGTTAAAGGCCGATATGATGATAGTCTATAAACGCCTGCAACATCAAGAGTATCACATACGCGTTCCCTTAAGAAACCTTTTTAAAGTATACCATGCTATAGTCTCTAAAGAAAACTTCTACTAAAAGGTCATACTACAACCAAAACTCTAAGGGGAGGAAATTCCTCTGAAACCTAAAATAATTGATTATCATACCTTAATCAGTTATTATATATATATATATATATATATATATATATATATATATATATATATATATATAGTGTCACTACGAGATTCTACTTCTTACTTTGCCAATTGTACGTAAATGACTGCCTATGCTCCGAACTTGATCAACTACTCCCTAAAAATTGTTAAATAAACTTTTAAAATGTGAATAAACTTTACAGCTGTAATATACAAAAATAAATTCTAGCTACAAAGATAAATTTATACCATAATAGTAATGTTATTTCTATCACAATGACACTTCATTATTATATTTTACAAAATATAATTTACATAGATTGCTATTGGGAGTGGACAGAATCCGTACTAGGATACTCTGCGTTACAAATTTTATTGCTGAATTCTACAATTAAGCTTAATAACTATTGTTACAGTCCGCCGTACTCCGTATCATAACTTAAATTTAGGAACAAATTAGCATTTGATAAATATTTATTTTCCAAGAATAACTAATCCTAAACTGTTTTGGTATTTGGCAAATTGGCCAAGATACGCAACAGCAATGCGTGGGCTACGCAACCGAGCAACGCGCCCCCTACCGGAGGGCCTGAAGTTTAGTAATAAATAGTAACTTTGCGCGTTATTATAAGGGAGGGCAGTGTTTGTGCCGCTTTTTATCGGTAACAAATTTTTGTCACATTCTTCGTGTCGCAAACTCTTGCACCTTCTCTATGTTTAGTAACAGGAAATTACTAATAGCCTTAATATATGTTACATTACAGTTTGTGACAAGTAGATTCACCTGAGTTTACTTGTCAATCACTTACGTGTAAATCACTGTAATGTATGCGTACTAAAAGCTATCCGTGAACATAGGTCTAAACAGATCCACATGTCCTATTTAGTTCTATTGTCCAGTAAAGAAAACAGATTCTGCCTACACTGCTGTACTTTTTTAATGGTAATGGTAGAATAGTAACGATGATAGGTGAGAATGAAGGCACGTTAGTTAGTCCATGACGATTCATCAGAATATAACCGCGATGACTTCCAGAGGGAACCATGCGGAGGTCGACTTAACTAACGATGTCTACTACACCCGTCCCCCCTGTCCCAACCAACCTGCTATTTATAAATACCTTGCCCTCAACAATTTCACTCACTCACTGGAAAAATGAAAATTAGTTTAATTCAATAGTCAGTAGGTCGGGGGATGTGATTGTTAGTAATGAGGTCCAATAAACCTATTGCTAGCAATACACCCTATCAGGTCGACCTCCACGCGGTTCCCCTTGGAATCCGTCGACGTTAATTCTACAGGAATTCGTCGCGATGGGCTAACTGACCTGCTTTCATCGTCACCTATCATCACTCACTGGTGCCTCGCTAGCGTATACCGATAGTGCAGGCGGGGTTACCGTTGCATTATCACCCATTAAAAAAAATAGACAGTAAGTTACTTTTATAATATATATATAGACACGTTACAGGAAACAATCTTGTAAACAACAAAATCTAGCTAGCATGACTAAACCCTCAGGAAACGTCTAGTGGATAATTGAGCATATAATTCATCTAATCCGTCCTAAGTTATTTCTGATAAAATCTATCAGAGGCGGCCGTAGGACTCGGCACTCGACACGCGCTCATGGCCAGACTAATTATTGCATTGGTCGGAAAAATTAATCGCGTGAGCTGTATCTGTATGATATATATCACAAAACGTTTATTGACAGTAAATTTATCTGTTCGCCTCTTGAAAGACCTCTATTGAGACTCGCAGCACCAGGTTGCCAATAGATTTGCACCTGCATTATAACTCGTCATCATCGTGTCAGCCTTTAACTGTCCACTGCTGATTAGACTCCTCTTTGGAGGTTTTGCCAATAGTTACCACTCTTGGCAGGCGGATTGGCAACTACAGTTAGGCCCCCCGCCTAACCTAACGGGATGGCCGTTGGGGGAAAGGGATTGTTAGCAATAGAGTTTGACAACCCCATTGCTAGCAATATGCCCTGTTAGATCGGCCTCCACGTGGTTTCCCCTGGAAACCATCGTGAACAATTCTTGTTGAAGTCATCACGATGGGCTAACTGACCGGCTTCGTCTTCATCTATCATCCTTCACTGGTGCCCCGCCGGTGTATACCGATAGCGCGGGCGGAGTTACCATTCCACTATCAGCCATTAAAAAAAATTACAGTTAGGCTTTGGAGATATTTTAAGACGCTGCTGCCCATACCTCGCCCTCCCTTAGTCACCTCTTACAACACCCACAAGAAAGGAAAGCGTGGTCTATTCTATGCCGGGACTACACGACAAATGCAACTAGGTGACTTGTAACACAGGTTCTTCTGAACCTACCGCAAGCACCAGTCTCTCACAAAATTGGTCTTCATATCAAATTGTACCTCAAGTTGTCACTTTATTCTACCTTTTGTGAAGAGAAAATAAACCATTCATTCATTCAATGCATTGTAAATTGCTCAGTAAAAACAAGAAATATTACTGTTATTTTCGAGTATATTTTACACAGTGACGATTTTAATGCGAATACAAACAAACACACTCACACATACGTCGCACACGCGTATGCTGTTTTATTTTTATATTCCTATAAATTAAACTTGACAGTATCCATCTCGTACGCACCTTAGGTATCATAAAAAAGTGACATTACGTAAAATCCTTAAATTATTGCACAGGTAAAATACTCAGCTATTTTTTTTTATTTTTCATTTAGTTTGTAAATGAATAATATTTGAAATACTATTTTTCAAAGTTATGTTCCTTTTACCCGGTACATACGGTATGTTAATCAACGTAACCCATTCCTTGAAACTGTTGTTAATATTCATTAAAAGGGTCTCAAAAAAACTTGTTTTCCTAAAAAAAAATATGAAATCATTTTTCTTTCGGTTAATCATATTCGTGAACCATGTTGTCTGTGTGTTGGCTCAAGATGGTGTGATCACATGTCGAGCTGTAATAAAAAAAATATATATATATATATATATATATATACATAAAAAAACATATTAAAATTGTCGAAAAAAAAAAGAACAACCTGTACCGACGGCATTACGCAATAGAAGGTATGTACACACCTATTTTTTTAATGGGTGAAAATGAAATAGTGACCCCGCCTGCGCTATTGGTAGTACTCTGGCAGCCCTGCCAATCAGGGATGATAGATGAGAATAAAGTAGGTCAATTGGCCCATCCCGACGAATTCAACATTAACAACGATAGTTACCAGGCAGAACCGCGTGGAGGTCGACCTGATATGTTGTATGATTGTTAATAAAGTACCCCTTTATAAAAAATATTAAATGCCCATTACTTAAAAATCCTTTCCCCTTGTAACTACCTATTATTATGTAGCACCGTTGACACAGTTTGCATAAATACTATAAATGAACTACGAGCTTTTTCAAACAGGAAATATGAGAATGTTATCCAAAACAAACATCGGTTGTGGTAAAAGTAGTTATATTGATTTAAAAACTGAATTACTGAATCTATTTTGATAAAATTCCTGTTAGATCAATCTGTAAGAATATCCTTTTGGATAAAAAAAGAATTTTCTAAATCGGTTTACAACTGACAGAGTTATGAGGTGACAAACATAAAAGTACAACCGAATTGAAACTCCTCTTTTCGAAGTCGGTTAAAAATGGGAATACACTTTACTGCACTTAAAGTCATTTCTATAGGAATTAGTTGAGTATATCGACTGTAAATAGAATGTCAAAAGGTTCAATATACATAATAAATCGTTGTCGTAACAACTCTAATGACCCATTTTTAGACATGGATTTCTTCTTAAAAGAGAAGGAAATTTATTATTTCAAATTTTTCTAAACGTACAGCAATAATGCACCATATTTTATTACTATAAAGAGCTACTTTACGACACCATCAAACAGCCGCTAACTGTTTACTGCTGAACGTAGACCTTCCTATAAAGGGGTTTTGCCAGTTGTTGCCAAGCTTGGTAGGTGGGTTGACGACCGCAGTTAGGCTTTGGTGATGTTTATAGGGCGGCTGCCCTTGCTTAAACCATTAAGTTCCCCTAGTCGCTTCTTACGACAACCATAGGAAATAAAGGGGGCACGTCTTACTGGCTCTTTACAGTATACTGCCGATTAAAAGGTACTGGGAATGTGTATACTTACACAGTCATCACAAAAATATGAGTATCATTGGTGACCACAGTACTAACTAGTCCCAAACTAAGCACAGCTTGTAGTGTGTGTGTGTTTGTATGTGTGTGTGTACATAATCAATGCATAATATGTGCAGGCAAAGCGCGTAGTGCTGTACCTGGCGCGGTCACGGCCCGAGCGGCTCCTGGACGAGATGATGACGGAGCTACAGACGGTGGAGACCCTGAACTGCCTCATCGAGCGCACGGAGACGCCGCCCTTCTATCGGCTGACCTCCATGCGCAAGGCCACCTCGGGCCACAGCGACGGGCCCGGCATCGGCTCACAGGTACAGGTATTTGATGTTGCGTTTTCTTACCGAAACAGCTCGTTCACGCCCCGCTGGTACAAATCTCTCCGTAAAAGTGGAGAATATACACAAGTCTGAGAGGTTTAATTGGTTTAGTACCATATATATTATATATACTTACTTGGTAATTAAATGAAATAAATATTAATCATCTACATCATCATAACATAAGTCTCCCCCTTAGAGAGTTTTGCCAATAGTTGCTACGTTTGGCAAGCGGATTGGCAACCGCAGTTAGGCTTTAGAGATGATTTAAGAGGGACACTGCTGCCCATCCCGCGCCCTCCCTTAGTCGTCTCTCACGACAACCGTGGGAAAGTAAAGGGTGGCCTATTCTATGCCGGGACCATACGGCAAAATAAATATTATATTACGACAAACAAATTTAAAAAGCACATTTTCAATTAAATTACAATTCCAAATACTATATTTAATGTACAGCTTTTGACCTCGTTACGGTTTTATATTATATAGAGGCAATTGGTAAGATATTATTAAGTAGGTGCTTGATTTATGCTTCGGAGAGCATGTGACACCGCCGCCTCGTAAGCCCCGTCAAAGGCCTTCACTTACAATAAAGTCGGCCTAGAGACTATACACAAAGAGACGCCCCTCTCCGCTGTGGTAGTAATTAATCTTTATCATTTTGTAGTACTTTTGGAGAAGATACATTTACAAATTTAAAATTTTACTTCTGCCATTAAATTAATTCTATAGTGAATAATATTTAGAAATCCATCTAATTTTGAATACACTCACACACACCACGACACTATACGAAAACGTCGTGAATCATAGCTGAGACTATTACACAAGTAGATGAGGTTTGGATGAAGTCAGGCCAGTTTAGCTCGTCCTAACTGAGGTGACTTCAGCCCATCTGGAATGTGATGGCCTGAACACTTATTTCACATTTTTTTTTATTCTACCAATTTCAGTAAGTCTATTTTGATTGACATGATTAGGCTTTTATTTCTATATCCAGTATTATATCCGCTTATAGCTCTAGGATCCCTATGATCCAATAACTTTGAGACATGCCCCCCCCCCCTTCCGCGGAACCTTTGTCATGCATACATACACACTCGCACCGTTCAAACTGGAACGAACATCCCTACCACACCGTTCGCGCTTAATTGGGTATGCACCCGAACGCAACTCATCAACGCCTCCTCCATCGAACGCAACCGACACTCCGTCCCTTAACGGGCATGAAAGTGAGGGCCTAAGCCGAGGTCCGAATGAGCTACTCGGCTAGCGCCCTTGGGCGTACGCCGCAATTCATCGATAAGGGTCGACATTGTCGTCAATCCTCTCTCGCGACCTTATAGTGTCTTCTGCACTCGCCCCTGCATACGTGCCCGGTGAAGCCATAAAGGCATTTAACGAATCATAAGTACTATTTTTATTTGTGGCTTTTCTTGATAATTTCGGCAACAACCATCATTCAAAAGTTTTATCGTATAACTCACTGTTACCCCAAATAAACGTCACAATGTTTTATATGTAGGAAATACAACAATCACACGAGGCGAGCTTATATTATTTTGGCAATAAAAAGGTTCACACATGTACATAATTATGGCCGGCCGCTCAGCCACCTCGCATCGGGGCGTCCGTTACGTCACGGCTCGGCTTCCTTAAGGGACCCTGTGCATTGCTTATCTCTACGCCACGTCCATCCGGAATAGATATGATACCTCTTGTACCTCTCAACATTAAGCCTTAATTCGGACTGACGAGTTGTAAAAATATTTTTACGTGTACACAACCACCCCTCGACCAATGCCACTTCGATAGTAAACTGGTTGCGTAACATATTTTGTCACGTAATGCAACTGTAGGAAAGTGATTTGATACGTATATATACGTCATGTACATATATACTAAGACTAGAACTAGACCTCTTTCGCAGCCATACCATATGCATGAATATAGCATGATTATTGATATCGTGTAAATTGTACAGGATGCAACAGGACGCACGGGCGAACTGGCACCCGTCGAGAAAGGCACCATCCACACCAAGAGACACAGCGGAGAAGACCCTGCGAAGTCTACGTGAGTATTCCGTATCGATTAAATTGTCAACTTTACAATTACATAATCAGGACTTACCCATAATCTTATGACTTTTCTATTTCAATTTATACAAACTGATGCCCTGAATGGGATGTGCCTGATGGGAAGTGGTAACCGTCACCTTTAGACATGAATCTCATAGTACTACAATGCAAACAATTGAGTTACATTCATACTGTATATAAGTACTATTAACCTAAAGAACGAATTTCAAATTGTCTCCTTTTCCTCGTTGTCCGCTTCATGTGAAATAATCCTAATAATGTGATATAAAATATCCAATGTGTAAGTCTAAAACATCTGTCAAATGTGTACCAATTTAATTTACAACTGAGTGGATCAGTCCAAAAATATCATCTTATAAAGTGAAATATATTTTTAAAAAACATTTTTCATATACTTTTTCCATGTGCACGCATCTCAAAATCTCTCAATAAAAATACGTAGCACACGAAGATTCCTGCGTTTATTAAAAAAAATGTGAATAGGAAACAGTAGAACGCCGTTCAATACGGGAATAGCCGCCCGAAATAGTCGGTAGGGTCTGAAACTCTGAATACATCAACGAACGAATACATTAACCGACCAAATAAATATATGGAGCGATTCGTGCAAAAGATAATTTCACAGCCTTTTTTCTTTCGAAAATCCTTTAAAGGGGGCACGCGTAATAAACGACACGATAACGATGTTTTAATAGGACATCTGGCGGAGATCTGCACTGGAATTACCTATGTATGTGTCAAAGTACCTACGGCTGAGATAATTTCACGTATACCCAAATGTAATGTGTCGTTGTAAACTCATGACCCTCAATATACGGTTGTCCCGAAAGTTAGATCTAGTATTTTTATTTTTTACTACTTCGATACCAAAAGGGAATTTATAAGTTTCAAACCTTTTTCTACAAGTATCTTATCATGTCTTTGGCATCTTGCCTCACTTTCGGATGGAGTAATTTCAAGGCATCTGTTTTATTTGTTGAGCGCAGATTATGTAAATAATTTATTAAGTTGGGTACCTAACTTACTACATTACGTATGAGGTGCACCTGAAAACCTTGAAAGCTTACATAGGCTACTGTGATCTCTTATTATGATGACATAAAAAAGAATGTTACTCAAATATCTCATGGTTGCAAAAGAACTTGCGATAATTATATTTAGATCCACACAATAAACAACTATTTCAATCGTGACAAAATTATTCTTGATTAACAATCTTTTTACTTATTACAAAACGAAAGAAGGCAGGAATGTATTTTTATTGTAGTAAACTTAAAATTAATCCTTTTTGAATAACCAATATGAATAAAATGCAACGGTCGTCGCGTTGTTTCGTAAACTACATATTTGATTTAATATGATTCAATACAGAAGGCATAATATCTAGCTGATGAATTTCCTTCGCAACGAATAGAAACAAAACGACAAAAAACAGTTTTTAATGGAAATGAGACCAAAATAGAAACCAACGGTAAATCTTAGTCTGTCGTTGGGAAATAGAATTATTAAAATCAGTTCAGAATTTAGTTTTAATAGAACATATCACGTACCTACACAAAAAGATATAGACGAATGATATACGTACTCGTGAAAATCCAATTTACAGTTTGAATTGAAAACTTACTACCATCCATGTTTATTGTGAAGGGAAAGATGTATTACATGTGTTTTTAAAGAAATAATGCCTAGTAATGAAAGAGTTAGTGCGTTAAGAGCTCCTTTAATCCACATTATATAATTGACGTCTAAAATCCCACATCAATAATCCGAGCCACTAACATGATCCTCCTGAACCTAATCCGTAATTCCTTCTATAAATTAAGTCCTCCGCGATAGACCTTGTTTATTTTGGAGCCGTTTGTTTTTCTTGTTAGCTTGCTTGGTCACTTGTTATTCTAATCATTGGCGGTTAGGAAAAAGCCAACCGAGAACAATCTGCTATATCTATTAAGTACCTAGGCTACCGACCTTCGCTCGCAAATTGTCTTACCTCTTTCAATACGATTTTCTCAGTTTAGTTTTTATAATTCAAACGTAATAAATAATAGTATTTTTTTCTTAATTTCGAAAATTTTTTTCTATATCTGTTTTGTTAATATTTTTGTTTACGAAATTAACACGTTTGTATGCGTTGCATTTGAGTCATCTCTAACTGCATTAATATATCAAAAATCAAACTCACGAGCATTATCTATGTAAATTTCACGTTATAATTACATTACATACCCTTGAAACTATTTGGTTTCAAAGTGATGTGATCAAAGTACACCATAATTGATAGTGGAATCGGTTAAGAATTCCCTACCCACGTCTAATGCTCAACCAATGTGTTTGCTCGTTTCCGTCTCTGTGTCTATACATTTGTATTTATAATACCAAAGAAATCATTTCAGATATTGCTCTTGACGATAATAAATTATCTAGAATATTCTCGAAGCTAATTAGACTTTGGTTGCTAACCTTGCCGAGATTAATGAAGTGAATGAATAAAAATACAACCATTAAGTTGTTTACGCGAAAAATCCTTACAAGTTTACTAATTGGTATCTTCAATCGATACGTATTCACGGATTTATTATTTTTAATTAGTGCTTATGTATCTTGTATCTATTCATAAATTGGTTTTATGTAATGGAAGCTACTGTAAAAGATTCCTTACTGTAATACCTACCGCCTACCCTAACTATTGTAACACACCGCTTGTATATTTTAAATCCTTTTCACAATTGGCTATGTTGAAACCGGTGCTTGTAAAAGATAGGGCTTTTCTTTTTATTCCTTTATTTATTTTCTCGATTGTATTTTATTAATGTTACGCGATAGCCACACTAGTTCTGAACCAATTTTAATTATTCTTTTTGTAACTGCTATTGGTATTGTATCCTCAGTACTTGTCTCATGCTTTTGTTACGCATCTCGGTAATTATCTTTGGGATTTTACTAGTAGATGTCACGCTTGGCAAACGCAGTCAGACTTTAGAGATGTTTTAAAAGGGACGCTGCTGCCCATCCTTCGGCCTCCCTTAGTTGCCTCTTACAACAGGGAAGGAAGGGGTGGCCTATTCTATGCCGGAACCACACGACAAACTATTATTATTACAACCCTTTATGTATATGGGAGACTTTGTACAAAAGTCGTTTGCTTGGGTACCTCTGTCCCATTCGTGTTTCTACCGTAAAGCCGTTGTGTTTGCATGACTGTGTTCCGGTTTGAAGGGTGGGATATGGCGTGAATTTACTAGGTACAGAGGAATAACACCTGAGTCCTTAGGAATGGCAACGCATGGGGGATATCATGAACGAAACAGTATACTGTGTTATGGTACTGCTCATGTCTATAGACGACGGTTACCGCTTTCCATCAGGTGGGCCGTCAGCTTGTTTGCCATTGCCATTATAATCCATTGGAAACAATATTACAAGCACTCTGTATCAAATCCAATCGATCTAAAATGATAATGTAATATTATGGCATTGAGTAATGAATACGAGTATGATGATGGAAGGTGGCCGTAGAAACATTCTAATAAAACAAGACAACCATATTAGATGTCAATTCTACTGATTTCTATGAGTGAGCATCTGAGAAATGTTGGTCATAGTAGTAAAAATTTGTTTTTAAAAGAAAACCAAACATAACTTATAGTTTGATATTTACAAAGTTCCTTTACCTAGATAAACACAGCCACGGAGGCCAATTCTCGTTTCTTTCTATATATTACTAGCTGACCCCGTAAACGTTGTTTTACCACTTATTGCGAAATATAAAAATCGCGATTAAAAGACAGGAGTTGATCGTAAAACGATGAAAATTTAAAGTTGTGTGTATTTTTAATGCTAAATTATAATAAAATAAAAATGGAAAAAATTGTTAAAAAAATAAAAAATAAAATTTTTGGGGAGGGTCACCCTTATCATTGATGGGTATGAAAAATAGATGTTGGCCGATTCTCAGACCTACCCAGTATGCACACAAAATTTCATAAAAATCGGTAAAGCCGTTTCGGAGGAATTTGGTAACAAACCCCGTGACACTAGAATTTTATATATAAGATTATAAAATATCGAAATTCGAAGTCGTTACTCAAATCACGTATTCTCAGCAGAAATCGAAATACATTTCGAAACAACCTCGAGTCGAAAAGAAAAATGTTGCCACTTTATATAGATAATGATGCGCAGTAGGAAGTACGCGTTGCAACGGGAATTCCGTTCTGAACATAAAATTTGTGTTATTTTAGAAATCTATTAAAATTAAACATAGATCAGATGCACACAGAACGACAGATTGTATAAAAGATAGGAATGCAATCAGCCCCTGTGTCTATCTTTCGTTGACTATGGAAAGTCTCAAAAAAAACCTTTGCCTCTTCCTTTTTTTTATTTTAATTTATATAATATATAATAAATTGTTAATAAAATTATTATAACTGCATATGTAAGGGCCTCTTACTTTTGCTAATTTGTTGTATCGATACTATTGAGAAGATGTCATTGACACTTGTTAGCGATCTCTAAGGAATTAAAGTTACAATTTGAAGGTATTCACGTATATGTTATTATTTTAATTGGAATACTTGCGACTTCGCAGTATTAACTAGTTTAAATGTGATAGTTTCCTCTGTCGATTCGTATACGAAATATTTGTTATGGTTCGAAATATAGTACCTATTGAAAAAAAGTAAAATGTAAATTGTTACTTATCGGTATTGTTACTTTATGTTCTAATGTAATAAAGAATACCAATGGTATGTGCTTTCTCTGTTATTTATATTAAATCCAAGTACAGCACACTTAATTTAAAACGTTTAGATTAGAAATGATTTTCTTTATACTCCCGCTAAATCAGCTTCGAGCATATATCGTGCAAATTATTGTCCTATTATCTATCTCGCTCTAATATATAGGTTCTATTTTCTCTCTTTTACACTACCAGTCTATATACTTCATAATCTAGATAGTAATAGATACTCA